TTTTGTTTTGTTTTGTTTTGTTTTGTTTTGTTTTGTTTTGTTTTGTTTTGTTTTGTTTTGTTTTGTTAATTAGGGTCCAGGTTGAGAAATTGGATGGTTAAAGGCTGGGATTAGTGGGTCTCTGCAACCTTCCCAAAGCCAGAGACACTCCTGTCCTGACAGCTGCTAAGGCAGTTGCCCAGACAACTAAAAACCAGGCATCTTCCTCCTTTTCTCTCAGGCTCCCCAGCAGGAGTCTTCCAGAATCCAGTGTCCCTCAGGTGTGCCTCAGGCTTTCTCCAGAGACCTAATTCTGGGGTCCCTCTGTACCTGGTATGTCTCTTTTCTGGGACCCAAGCTTCAATTCTGCCCTTAGCAGAGCCGGTCTCTGATGGGAGATTCAGAGCGACCCTCCGACCTGAAGGACCTCCCAGCCCAGAGCTGGGCCCAGCTAAGAGCTAGAGCCAAGGCCACGTGGATGACCCGCAAGTTCTGTTGGGAGGACACTTGGGTTGGAATGGTTTTGGAGCAGGGCTGGTGTCCTAACCTAAATATGGAGCATGGTAGATATTCCTAAATCTTGGGTTTAATTAACTAGGGTGTTGTTTTATTTTGTATAGTGCTGCCTTGTGACAATTCTTGTTGAATTATTTCATTTTAATTCTCTTGTACTCATATTTGTGTCCGGGTGGGAACTATGTCTTACACTTCTTTATATTCTCAGCAGAGTACATAATGGGTGCTTAAGAATACTTGCTTATTAGTCGACAGATTTTTCTCCTTATTTTGCCACCATGCAAATAAACACAGCATGAACTGAAGCTCCTATCTAAACCCAGAAATGAGCCATTTTAGGAGCAATAGAAATTCAGCTTCCCTTTCTGTGACCCTCCAAAGAACTCTAGTCCTGTCCTCCAGCCCCTTCTGCTCAGGGTCACCCATAAGATCACAGTCAGAAACACCAGTCAGGACTTTTTCTTAACTGATAGTCCAATAACTATGTGATATCCAATGTTATAAATATGTTACACTTTATTATAAAAAGACCAGTAGATAGAAGGAAACTATCTGTCATCTGTCCACTCTCCTTTTTCCTCTCTGCCCAGTCAGTGATAGGTGAAGGGGCTGCAATAAGTTGGAGAGAAAACCTGGAAAGTACACACAGAAGAAGTGCCCACAAGGAGGAAAACCACAATCTGGTAAAGATTCGAGGGGAGAGAGGATAGGGGCAGTAAAAAGATGGGTGACTCCTCCACAACACACAGAAGAAGTGCCCACAAGGAGGAAAACCATAATCTGGTAAAGATTCGAGGGGAGAGAGGATAGGGGCAGTAAAAAGATGGGTGACTCCTCCAAGATAAAGCCAGGACTGGCTTTTGCTGGAAAAGACAGGAAAATAAATGCTGAGTGGGGAACACCATCAGGGAATGTCTGGGATGGGGATCGGTGGGTGAGAATTCAGGCCAAACAAAAATCCCCTCCCTGTGTGCCCCCCACAATCAAGCGAGCCAAACCTTCAGGATGCCCACTGTAGACATTCAGAGAAACTATGGGATTCCAGAGGAGGAGGGAGAAACCATGTGGGTGAGAGGTATTTATGATCTTTTCTGGAATTTTCCTTGCTCCAGGGAATAGAGAAGATGGAGAAGGAAATAAACCCTCTTTTCTTCTAACATTCTATCTTTTCATTAAAATAAAAAGTGGGGAAAGGGTCCTGGAAACTCAGAGACGAGCCTGAGATGGAAATAACCCAGAGGCTCTGTCCTCGTTCTCCCCATTTCCCATAGCCCCACTACAAGGCAGGCTGGGCACTCTAAGCTCCTGTACTTCCCTTAGCCATGCCCCTACCAAGACTCTGTGTCCTATCTTGGTCCCCACCCCACATCCCATCAAACACCTTTTCATTCCCCGGCCCTCACCTTCTACAGAGAACACTTGCTTGTATTATTCATTCTTTCTTCTCTACCCCCCAATCTTACATCCTTCTTGCTTATCACCACATCCTCCAACCAGTTTCCATTAAGAACAGGTGGATGGTTAATGCTGTTAGCTGTCAAGACGCTCTGCCCTTCCTGGAGTCCAGGACATAGAAATTGTGAGTCTAATTCCTCATCCAGCAAAGAGGTAGGCCATGGAAGAGCTGGGGTGGGCACCTTCTAGAAGATCATGGCGGGGAGGGGATCTGGCTCGTGCCAAGAGTCTGCTGCTCCATCAGGTAGACTGGGTAGGAATTTGGACCCCCATCATCCTCTAGGTCGTTGTCCTGGGTGTTCTGGGTCAGTGCACGGCGTGTTCGAGACATATAGTAGACCTGCGGGTGGGATGAGAAAGGACGGATGAGAACCACCGGCCATGCCGCACGCTTTCCTCAGCACCCGCACCCCAGGCCCCTCGTTCTATCCCTCCGACCTCAGACCTTTGGTTTGCTCTTTTCCCAAGATTCTGTCCAAACCCTGATCCTTATTCCAGCCCCAGATTAAATACACTGAGTCCCAGACTCCAGCTCCAATTCCCCCGCCATCCTATTCTCCTTCTCTTTATATCCCTATTCTCACACCCCAGATTTTATCTTCACCCCCCAAAATTTCTCGTTCACACCCTTTTTTCTCAGTCCATAGCCTTCTCCCCAATTCCACCTTTTCACATCTTATGTACTTATTGTCTTTCTCCTAAGTTTTTACCACCTCCACCCCTCTGTTAACGTTCCCCACCCCATCCCTGCCGTGTCTTTTCCTAGACTCATTATTCTAACTCTGACCCTTAACCTCTCCTCAACTTCCTACCCTGTGGGTTCAATGCCCCGGAGCACTCCTGTCCCTTACCAAGAATACCAGGCCAAGAAAAACCAGGAGGAGAATCACGGCCACCAGGATCACAATAACTATAGCCCACACGGGGAAGGAATCATTCTCTGCCATTCGTCCAGCATGGATACCTCCCTGTGAGCCATCATTATGGCTGTTGTTGCCTGGAGGTTCTGACTCCGTGGAACTCAACTCCATTCTAGATGTGGTGAGTGTAAAAGAACCAATGGGCACCTGATGGGTGACCTGAGTTTTACTTTGGTGAGCAGAGGTTGTAGTGATTGATTTGTCTCCTGTGACCTTGACTGGAGCTCTTGTAGTCTTTGTGACTGCCGCTGTTTTTCCTGGGTTTTCTGAAGACATTATTGGCACTCTTACGGTCTCAATGGCCAGTGTGGTCTTTTCTGGGTTTTCTGTAGGCTTTACTGGGACTGGTGTGCTTTTCCCTTTGGTGCACATGGTTTTTTCTGGGTGTGCCGTAGGCTTTTCTGGAGCTCTGGTGGTTTTCTCTGTGGTCCCTGTGGTCTCTTCTGGGTGTTCTGTGGACTTTGCTGGAACTTGTGTTATTTTCTCATAGATGGATGTGGTGTTTTCTTCATGTTCTCTAGGCTCTGTTGAGGCTTTTGTGGTCTTCCCATTGCCTGATGTGGTCTTAACTCCGTGTTCTGTAGTCCTTACTACAATAGGTATGGTCTTCTGACTGTCCGAGGTAGTCTTATCTTCATGTACTGTAGGCCTTACAGGGGTAGGGGTGGCCCTCTCACTGGTTGAGGTGGTCTTTTTTTCATGTTCTGTAGGATTTACTGGGATTATTGTGGAATTCTCACTGGCTGAGGTGATATTTACTCCTCGTTCTGTAGGCCTTAGTGAGCTTGGTGAAGTCTTCTCACTGTCTGAGGTGGTCTTTTCTTCATATTCTGTAGGTTTTACTAGGATTAGTGTGGTCTTCTCACTGGCCAAGGTCGTCTTTACCTCCTCTTCTGTAGGATTGATTGGGATTGTTGTGGTCTTTTCACTGGCTGAGGTGGTCTTTTCTTCGTGTTCTGTAGCATTTACTGGTATTAGTGTGATACTCTCATAGGTCGAGGTCTTTTTTTCTTCCTGTCCTGTAGGCATTACTGAGCTTGTTGAGGTCTTCTCACTGACCACAGTGGCCTTTTCTTCATGTTCTGTAGGACTTACTGGGATGGCTGTGGTCTTCTCACTGCCAGATATTGTTGTTCGTTTGCGGCAAGTTGTTCTGCTCTTGGTTGCTGAGGTTTGATATTTTGTATCAGACAGTCCTTTATGTGTTGTAGTGGAGTCAACAGGATTAACAGAGCGTTCGTTTCGTCTGTTTGGCTCTTTTTCTGTATTGCTGTGTGTGTGTTTAGAAATGGAAGAATCTTCATGATCACCTGTAGAGCTTTTGTGGTTTGTAGTTTTGAAGTTGTCTGTAGGTTTTTGAGTTGGCCTGGAACGGTGTGTGGTGTTGCAGCGGTGTTTTAGCGTATGGGTTTCTGCAGATTTAGGGGAGTCTGAAGGTCTCTGTCCTGAACGCAGA